AAGTTTTGTTTTATCTCAACGGCCGCTATACCGCATCTATGCCTCAAAACGAGTCTACGATACGAATGAGTGTAACATACAAAGAGTCAAATGAGTTAGTTGAATGAGCTGACTCCTTAAAGTGAGTTGGAGTCATTGAGTCAACTCCTATAAATTTGCTGAGTTACCCACCCTTATTGTGCATCAGCTTTGGTTTTGTTTATGAATTTAATCAGCTGATAGAAATGTCAACCAGAGTTGCAATGCATAGCATTTTTATGCTATGGATTTTCGGTATTGCAAATTTGTCAAGCCATGACAAATGCAAATGCGTGTATTTTGTTTGTGTATTGCAAATAATTTGCAATACAAATTTGCAATGCAATGATGCTAGGCCATTTGCACCGGATCGCGAATAGCCCTAGTATGTTTGATATGGAATGACATGGCATAGCAATGCATGAAATTTTTGAAAATGACATCTTAATAGATACGCTGGGAAGGAGTTAAGAAAATTTTTAAATGTATATTTTGTTACCTACTTCACCGATTTGAAATCTGAAAACTATACCTTTCATGAGCATGAAATGATATTATAACTTTGGCCCGATATTTGTAAGTACCAGAATAAGAAGAGATAGACTCATGAAAATGTGTATTTATGTATGTGACCAGAACATCGAGCTGAGCCGACTTAGGCAACTGAGTTGCTATATTGGCAACTGCATTTAATCGAAGATTGTATACCTACATGTTAACTCCCCCTGCCCCTACGTAGCGACGCCCACGTATGTAAAGTTTTATAAATGTCAAACGCTTCCACTGAAAGTGAGTTAACTCGAACAGCTGACTTTTGTTTACATTTGAAATTGGAAAAGTTTGTAACATTTTTAAATTATTTAATAATGATAGAAATAATGAATCCATTAGAGCGAATTAATTTTATTTTCCTGGTTGTACAATATTATGACTTGCAAAACCAGATTATTGCTATGAGGGCAAGCGCTACCGAAGGTCAAGTGATCTTACGCATATTTGGAGCTGTTTTGGACATGGCACGTGTTGTACTGTCCTTTTTAAAAGAATACAAAGTCCAAAGGAATAGTCCAGTTGTTTGGAAAAAGGTCAGTATAGCTACTTAATTAATTAAATTAACTTTATATTTCCAATATTTTTTGATAGGAACGCACAAGCTTATTCTAGGAAAAAGAGTGTCAAATTTGTAGTCCAATTGCGTTGAAGAATAGTTTTCGTTTGGAAAGGCGCAGTTTCTTTGAACTCTGTGGTATGGTAAAACGTTTAGAAAAGGCGGATACGAATTATCGGAAAGCTATTCTTATTGAAAAGCGTGTCGCTATTGCACTATATGCACTTGGTTCTTCTGCAGAGTATCGAAGCATTGGAAATTTATTTGGCGTGTCCAATTCCAGCGTATGCTGAATTGTTAAAGAATTTTGTGTTGCTGTTTGGGATGTCTTGAAACCTGTGCATTTAAGTTTTTTTCCGTTAACTGGTTAACAAGGTTTGTGCGTCTTTAAATCAGTCAAAAAAAATTACGCAAAATGGGCTTAATTTTTAAGGTATCGCTTTCTTAAATAAATGTTGGAAGTCGAGGGAGATGTAATGACTCTGGAATCTATGAATCTTCCTCATTAAAAGCAGAACTGTCACGTTGCAAATTGCTCTATGATCTCCGCAAATCTTTTAATAATGTAGAGGTCCCAGTAGTCATTATAGCAGGCTCAGCTTTCCGTTTATCGCGCAACGTCTTTAAGCCATATCCATTTAGGCCCTGTCTCCACAGGGTGTTTTCCTGTAGTGAAAACTATGTCACAAAATATATTTCCAATGGAGACCGCCTATTTCTCATGTGCTGCAATATATGGCAGCGCTTATTGCTTGACATCTATTTCCGGCAATTCAATAGTTTGACAGCCATATTTTCATTTGAAAGAAAGCGTGCTGGTGGTAACATCGATGAAATTTTTATATTAAATCAAAATAAAAGTCTGTTCCTTATTGGATTATTTATGATTACGTTTTAGGAAATTATTCAGCAAGTTTTTTAAAGATTTAAATGTTTTTAAACACCGAAATTGAGAGAATGTTGTCTGGTGGCGTCATGCGGCAAATGCTTATTTCAAGACATCAAAGTGCCCACACACAAAAACTTGCTCGTCAAAATGACAGTTGGTAGGCCATCGGTGTTTGCCTGTGGAGTTCTGCGGTTAGTTTGGTAAGTACAGGTGCTCAACGCGAATTCAACTTCCGCCTTTCTCATTGCCGAAGGGTTGTTAAAAATGCATTTGGTCATTTGAAATGCAGATTCCGACGCATCGGAAAGGGGTTGGATAACCGTATCGACAAAACAAATGCCATCATAAAAGCCTACTGCGTACTCCACAATTTTTTAATTGCAGCAAACCATAGTTGGCTTTCTGACACCGTTAGCACTGAAGAGCCAAGTAGAATAGTACAACAGAATGAGACGAGATTGAACCCGCGAGACACTTATCGAAACGCTTTAAGTGAACACTTTGTTGAAAAGTAAAGCAGCATTTAGATGAGGCGATTCTCTATGCGACTTAACCTCGCATTCAATAAAATCGCTTGTGTATATTGAGTTTCAATTTTCTAGAAAGAGATAAAATCGCTTTCAACTTTTCATGCTATATTGAATCGCTTACAAAATCGCCCCATCTAAATGATATGTAATTATTTTTTATTTAAAAATTCAATAATCTTTGCTGCCAATTGCTGGCTAGTTTCAGACATTGCGGATATGCTCTCAGTTTGTTTGTTTATCCTTATCCACTAATTCTTTCTATATTTATTGCAGTCCACTTAATTATAAATAAAAACACTTTTTAAAATTTGAAATTCCTTTTTAATATGCTCAATAAAATATACCATTCAGGCTATCCTCCACAACGACCGCCACATTGGATGAGCGATAGCCGCCAAATTATTTTGTGGAGCTTTTCAAATAGCGGCCATGCTGGCGGCGAAGCTCTGGAAGGTCACATTTCACTTTTCTACACACATATAAGAAAACCGCCAGAGATTAAAGGTTGATGAATTATATACACATTAAATCAACTTACTTGTATTTGGAAATCATATTCTGCATTTTGAATTTTACTTCTTGGACAGAGACAGTAATTCCAATTGATGTTAATTCTGCTGCCATTTCCTTGTATACGTGTGTATTTTTCCGGCATCCTCTTAACTCCTACGCTCTACCTTCCCAGCCTCAGCTCCCAACCTGACTCCACTTTCATCGTTTTCCGTCCATTTTCAATTAATTTGTTTTTTGTTTATTTTGTGCGAACAGCTGATGGCTGCCAGAGCTATGTGTGTGTTTTTTGTTAAAGGGGCTCACTGCAAGTTTCGTGGAACAAGTGCAGTATAGCGGCAGGTGAGCTAAATGTGGGCGTGGTCCGCCTCTTACCACTGATTTTAACGGTGTAACCCTTTTTTGTGCAAATCAATAGGGGCTGTGATAGAAGGCGGTAAAAGTGCAATTTTCAATATTTTCAAAAGCTTATATTGCAAAAATTATTGAGCCGATTTTCGAAGTGTCGGTATCATTGAAAGGTAATACATAAGATAAACTAAAATAAATAAATAATGGCAATTTTTTAATAAATATTTATGATTTTCTCTAAAAAATACGTTATTAACTATATGCAAAAATACGTTTATTAAGAGCATAAAAGTGTCTGTAATTTAATATATGACTTGTTGTAAAAAATTTTTTTGCGTAAGGATTATAACCCTTACTATGCAGAATTCTCCATTCTGTCTTGCCGGAGAAGAGGGGCGGAACTTCTTTCTGCAGGCAAGAATTAGTGCAGTTCTTCTATTTCGCTGTTATATATCAAATTAAAGGTATTTTTATACTCTTTCTGATAAACATATCTCTTAATATAGTTAATTACGTATCTTTTTAAGAAAAAAATCATTTTTATTAAAAAATTGCCATAATTTCTTTTTTTTTTAAGTTTATCTCGAAATATGTACATATGTCATATGTCGGCCGCTGTGGTGTAGTGGTAAGCAGTACGCGCTTTCACTCATCAGCACCTGGGTTCAAGCCTTGGTCAAAGCAACATCCCAAAAAATATAGAAAAAGGTTTTTTCGTAACAGCGGTCGTCCCTCGGCAGGCAATGGCAAACCTCCGAGTGTATTTCTACCATGAAAAACAGCTTCTTAAAAAAATACAAACGCCGTTCGGAGTTGGCGTAAAACTGTAGGTCCCTCCGCTTTGTGTAACAACATCAAGGCGCACGCCACAAATCGGAGGAGAAGCTCGACCAAACACTAACATATGTGTAAGCGCCAATCTATTATTATTATTATTATTATTATTATGTACATATGTACATATATATTATCCAGTATCCATAGTTTGAAAATCGGTTTAACAGTTTTCGAAATAACAGCTTTTGATATTATTGAAAATTCCACATTTACCCCCTTACCACCGCCCTATTAATTTGCACCAAAAAAAATTTACATCATTAAACATAGTAGAAAACCCACTTTTTTTTACCATATGCCGCTTTACTATACTTATGCCAGTTTCGTAATTATATTTTGATTGTCTCGAAATCATTGTTTCAAGATACATAATATAATTATTATATTCGTTTATTGCACAATATATATTTTTCTGTTAAAAATAATGGGAGGAAGTATTTTCCTTCACAAAAATTCCACAATGCAAACTGAAACCCCTGTCCCTTCTTTTGTTCGAATACCTACGACTCTGGCAGCAACTGCAGCCAACTTCTCAATGTGTTTACATTTGTCAGAATGGCTGAAGCTGTTAACATAACATTTTCTGTTAAGTCGGCAGAAACTGGGTTAACTCCCTTTTGAAAGTGAGTTTACGCACTTCAACACAAAAAACTATTAGAATTTGCGCATTTAAATGCGATGTTAACTGCATTTAAGCGTAGAATGCATTTAAGGCTCGGTGGAAAAAGCATATAACTCCATGTGTGAGGAAACCAAATACATATGTAATGTAATTATTTGCAGAAGTGCCTAAAACTTAACAGTTTGGCAATGTTAAACACTGTTGAAGCTAATACTAGCGCCTGAAACTATACTTATTATTTACTACCGCCGGCAGCTTTAAAAAATGTATAGCGTTTTTACGTTCTTTGCAAATTACGCTCTGTTAGCCATACATTTTACTATGTTTTGACCGACTTTGTATTAAGATCCCTGGACCATCTAGGGAATTCATTTATAGTTTAAATTGGATTGTCATCAATATTGGAACTATGCTGAAAATTTCAAGTCTCTACCTTGACGGGAAGTTAGTTTAAAATCGATCGGAAATTTCAGCGGGATGACCAAGTTAAATAAAAGCTTGTAAATGGTAAAAGGTCAGCTTATCCATTAAGCGCCTAAATGTATAAACGTGCAAACATACGTATATACAGGCATATATACATTCATACATGCATGGTTACCCTCTACCTACCAATTATATGCACCGATCATCTATTTGCGCATAATTATAAAGCGTTTCCTCAAACCAAAATAGCGTGCATTCCAAAGCACAGGGCTAAAAATATTTCTCACCTCCTAACAAATATTTTGGATTACGTTTTGCGCTTATTCTTGGCCCGTATAAGCAGTTTAGCTCATGGTACAATAAAACAGGTAGAAGCCAATTTGACGTCAAACCTACAAAAGTCAAAGTTTTCGGGAGAGTAAAAATAAAAATGAGCGTGTGTAAGGAAAAATAAAAAAATACATTTCACTGGTTGACGTTTTTAAGTATATTTGAAGTTTATTCTTATTTATTTATTTTCTTTAGTTAAAATTTGATAAAACGTGTATGTTGTTTTCTGTTTTTGTTTTATGAGTTGCAGTGTTGTTGGAGGGACTTTTCGGCATAAGGGTCATAGGAACAGCACTTGGCTTCAAACGTGCCTTTCCTGTACCTCCCGGTGTATTTGTGGAATATACTTCTTTAAAATGTTTAACGCACAGCAAGGCATTTCACTGCAGCTCTGCCCACAGCTGCTTACGCAACGTTCCTTACGCGAAGGACATTGAGGCACGTTAAAAAATTAGTGGTATCTGCCTTATATTTAACACCACATAAAACACAACGCTTCAGGTGTTGCATTTTTAGCACATACACTAAGTATAAACCGCACAACACTACAAAAATTCAAATGCAAATTAAAATTTGTTATTAACGAACATTCAAAAAGAAACAACGATATGAGATTCAAAGCGTAACGAAATATAGGAAATAAAATAAAATCAAGTTGAAGTTTAAAGGTTTGGTTCTCATGAGAGCAACGTCATTTTGGCTTCTACCTGTATTTATGTGCCTTGGTTTAGCTCTCAGCATGATTCAATAATACAAGGTTAGATAATTATTGACAGCCGCGGTTTGACACTCCCTTACAAAAGGTTGCATTTACGAAGGACGGAGAAAGACGAAGAATGAAATCCATTGTTGCGTAATTGGCAGTAGAAAAGTACGCAAAGTAGGCAATTAGTAGTGAAATTCCTTTTATAAATTCTAATGTATTTGCAGGAAATCTGGCATTTCAAACGAAATATTGAACGTAATATTACAATATCTACGTTAATTACGTAATTTGTATGCTATTTAGCTGTATAAAAACTGCAAAAGGGCTCAAAATTAATATAACACTACTGCGAGTTTTATGTAAACATCCAATATAAAAAAAGTTTATGTTTTCATCAGTTAAATGTGCTTCATATGTATATACAAATAAACATATTGCACAAATTTAGGTTGCAAACAGAGTGGAAGCGAAGCCGAAGACGAAACCAAAGACGAATTGCTTGCGTTGCGGGCAAGCTGGCGAGTGTACATAGTGGAAGATGAATGATATGAAGATTTGTTTCTAAATAAAACCCTTTTTTTTAAGATAAAATCAATAGAAAATAAAGAAAAAACAGCAATTCATGAAATAATTTGTATAGGACAACTTTTGGAGAATTTCGCCACTTATATTATGTGTTACGGCAAGACGGACAGACATTTTNAAAATAAAGAAAAAACAGAAATTCATGAAATAATTTGTATAGGACAACTTTTGGACAATTTCGCCAATTGTATTATGTGTTACGACAAGACGGATAGACATTTTTCGAATGTACAAGAATGCCAATTAATACGTTTGATTACATTTTGCCAAAAATTTAGCCAATTTATTGAAAAACGCGTTTTTTCACAATAGCAAACAGTTAAATAAATTGTAAAAAACTCATCACAGCAAACGATTCGTCTTTGAAAACAGTACCGCACTTTTTTAAGCTGACCGCTTGCGCAACGTCTTCATCTTCGTCTTCGTCTTTGCTTGCACTGTGATCACTTTCATATGTTTAGTACTGCACTGTTTTTCGTCTCCGGCTTCGTCTTCATCTTCGTCTTCGTCTTTGCTTGCACTGTGATCACTTTCATATGTTTAGTACTGCACTGTTTTTCGTCTCCGGCTTCGTCTTCATCTTCGTCTTCGGCTTCGCTTCCACTCTGTTTGAAACCTTATACTTCTATTTCACATCAAATCTAAACTTTTTCCAAGTAAGTTTGCAAAGACGCAACACAGTGCCACTGCTAAGGGAGCGGTGCGAGAGAGACAACTGTCAGTTTATCGAACCTTGTATTATTGGGCGCGTTCATAAGTCGTAGCTGTTGGGTTGGGTTGGCTGTTTGTCTTAGAAACGCACAGTTGAGTAGTTACGCTCAGCCCAACAGTTGGCAACTTTCCGCCATTTTTTCCAGCGGAAAATTTTTACGCTACCTGAACTCAACGTATTGGGCTTAGCCTAAACAGCTGATCGAAAAGACTTACGCCGCTTATATTAAATTTAACGCCGCTTTGTTAGGTGGCAGTTGCAAACAAATTTATTATATTTTATATTACTGACGTGATAAAGTAACTAAAATATTTTATAATAATACTACGTTTCTAAATATATGTTTTTAAGATGCTTGCTATATAATTTTACACTGTTTAATTCATTGTAATATTGAACGATTTTTTCAACACGGCGGCCGCTCAGCGTTGAATTCTAAGTAGTATCGGCGCAACTATCTCTATTTGTTGCAATTTCATTTGTTTACATTTATCAGCTGTTCATTTGGCAGCATATTCATCAAGCCGTTTCTAAGACGTAATTGTTGGGTTCAACAGTTGCCAGCAGTTTCGTAGCAGATGAGCTAGACAGCTACGTCTTATGAACGCAACCATTGAATCATGAGCTCTCAGTAACTGCAACTGCACAACCATATGCACATACATACAGATTC